TTCATAATAATTTTAGAAGGGCTTACTTCTCGTTTATTACTCCAACATCCCAACATTAGGCCTAATTTTTACTAGCTCAACTACTATCACTTGTTCAGTAAGACACACTTAGTACTAAGCAATTAAAATATTCTTCATTATCATCAATGACTAGTACAATACCAATTTTATTTATTATTTGCCACACATAAACTTACCATTGTTCTTATCTCTATAGATAGTCACAAATGTTAGAAATACCTGTGCAATGATAATTTAACCTGTAATTTCCATTCTGTGTAGAAATGTGGTAGTTTATTATTTCAAAGCATTATTTAATATTGTTAACCATTCTTAATATATTTTTTAAAAATCAGTTATTTAACACATATATTAAATACTTATTACACATTAAGACCTGTATCAGGCCCTGGATATAAAATGGTGAAAAGGGCTCCCTTAATCAACACTTGAAATTTTAGGGGTTATCCGGAAGAACAAGGCAGAACTAGATAGCAGCTTGTGAAGAAAGGCGGGAATATGACCATGAGGAGGTGGGCAGGTGGGAACTAGACCCAAATGCTGCCAGTCCACAGGCAGCTCCCTAAGCACTTTAACTTCCTTTACTTCACACCACCAAGTGCAGTTCTTACGTGTGCTACAGTGCATTGCTGACCTGTCTTCCTAGTGGGCTGGGGCCAAGAAGAAATGGGATCTCTGGATCCCATTTGGAAAAGACCTCTTGGAGAGCCCTGCCCCAGCAGCCATTATCCCTGCCTGCCCTAGGATCATCCCTCAGGCCCTTTTTGTTTTTTTTTCTTAATGTGGCAACTGAATTGTGACTCAATTAAATATTCTGCAGATTGTTTCCATAATTATTTTTCACGCTCATTTTTTAAATTGACATACACTGTATTAGTTTCAGGTGTACAACATAATGATTTGATATTTATATAAATTGCAAAATGATCACCATAGTAAGGATAGTTAACATGTTACTATACATAGTTACAATTTTTTTTTCTTATAATGAGAACTTTTAAGTTCTATTCTTAGCAGATTTCAAATAAGCAGTGTGGTATTAACTATAGTTGCCATGCTGTACATTACATCCCCATGACTTACGTATTTTATAAATGGAAGTTTGTACATTTTGACTCCCTTCACCCATTCAAATCCCCCACCCCACCTCATCCCACCCCCACCGCTGGTAACCACCATTCCGTTTCTTTATCTATGAGTTCGGTTTTGGTTTGTGTGTGTGTTTTTAAGATTCCACATAAAAGATCATTTGTCTTTCTCTGTCTGACTTACATTGCTTAGCATGATGCCCTCAAAATCCATACATGTTTTCATAAATGGCAAGATTTCCTTTTTATTGCTGAATTATATATATATGCCATTATTCACCCATCAATGAGCACTTAGGTTTTTATATCTTGGCTGTTGTTAACATGGGGGCACATATCCCTTTTTGAGTTAGTGTTTTTGTTTCCTTCAGATAAATACCCACAAGTAGAACTGATGGATCATATGGTAGTTCTACTTTTAATTGAGGAGCCTCCATACTGTTTTTCATAGTGGCTGCACCAATTTACATTTCCACCAACAGTGCACAAGGGTTCCCTTTTCTCTGCCTCCTTACCAACACTTGTTATTTCCTGTCTTTTTGATAATAGCCATTCCGATAGGTGCGAGGTGATATCTCATTGTGGTCTTGATTTGCATTTCCCTGTTGATTAGTGACGTTGCACTACTTTTCATGTATCTGTTGACCATCTCTATGTCTTCTTTTGAAAAATATTCAGATCTTCTCATTTTTTAATTGGATTTTTTTTTACTTTTGAGTTGTGTAAGTTATTTATTTGGGATATTAACCCTTTATCAGATATGATTTGCAAATATTCTCTCCCATTCAGTAGGTTGCCTTTTCATTGTGTCGATGGTATCTTTTGCTGTGCAGCTTTTTAGTTTTATGCAATCCCACTTGTTAATTTTTGCTTTTGTTGCCTTTGCTTTTGGTGTCAGATCCAAAAAAAAACAAAAAAGAAAAATCATTGCTAAGACTGATGTCAGGAAGCTTACTTGCCTATGTTTTCTTCTAGGAGTTTTATGGTTTCAGGTCTTACATTCAAGACTTTAATCCATTTTGAGTTACTGTGTATAGTGTAAGACAGTGGTCTATTTTCATTCGTTTGTGTGTGGATGTCCAGTTTTGCCAAACCATTTATTGAAGAAATTTTCCTTTCCCCTTGGTATATTATTGACTCTTGTCATAAATTAATTGACCATATATATGGGTGGGTTTATTTCTGGGCTATTTTGTTTCAATGATCTTTGTGTCTGTTTTTATGCCAATACCATACTGTTTTGATTACCATAGCTCTGTAATACAGTTTGAAATCAGCATGATGCCTCCACCATTGTTCTTAAGAGACTGCTTTGGATTTTTGTAGTCTTTTGTGGTTGCATATAAATTTCAGGTTTGTTCTATTTTTGTGAAAAATCCCATTAGAATTTTAACAGGGATTGCATTAGAGCCGTAAATAGCTTTGAGTAGCATTTGCTCCCAATCCGTGAGCATGGGATGCCTTCGTATTTATTTTGTCTTCTTCAGTTTCTTTCACCTCCTTGACTAAATTTATTTGTAAGTATTTTGTTCTTTTTTAATGCAACTGTAAATGGGATTGCTTTATTTCTCTGATGGTTTGTTATTAGTATATAGGAACTCAACAGATTTTTGTATATTGATTTTTTAATCTGCAACTTTACCTAATTCATTGGATCTAAGTTTTTTTGGTGGAGTCTTTAGTGTTTAATATATATAGTCATGTCACCTGTGAATAGTGAGTTTTACTTCTTCCTTTCCAACTTGGACACCTTTTGTTTCATCTAATTGCTATGGCTGGGACTTCCAATATTATGTTGAATAAAAGTGCCGAGAGCGGGCATCCTTGTCTTGTTCCTGACCTTAGAGGGAAAGATTTCACTTTTCATCGAGTATGATGTTAGCTGTAGGCTTGTCATATACGGCCTTTATTATGTTGCGGTATGTTCCCTCTATACTCACTTTGTTGAGACTTTTTATCATAAATGGATGTTGAAATTTGTCAAATGCTTTTTCTGTATCTAAATTAATGTGATGTATCACGTTGATTGATTAGCAAATATTGAATCATCCTTACATCCCTATAATAAATCCCACTTGATCATGGTATGTAATCCTTTTGATATATTGTGAATTTGGTTTGCTAATATTTTATTGAGAATTTTAATATCTATGTTCATCAGGGATATTGGCCTGTAAGTTTCTTTACTTGTGGCATTCCTGGTATAGTTTTGGTATCAGGGTAATGCTGGTCACCTCAAATGAGTTTGGATGGGTTCCCTCTTCTGTATTTTTGGAAGAGTTTGGGAAGAATTGGTATTAATTCTTTAAATTTTGGTAGAATTCACCAGTGAAGCCGTCTGGTCCTGGTCTTTTTGTTTGTTGGGAGATTTTTTATTACTCCTTACTGGTAATCAGTCTGTTAAGATTTTCTATTTCTGCATGATTCAGTCTTGATAGGTTATACGTTTCTAGGAATTTATCCATTTTCTGTGTTACAAAGTTGTTAGCATATAATTTTTCATAGTAGTCCCTTATGATGCTTTTCTTTGGTTAATTTCTTGAACTTTATTATCCTCTTCCTGACCCTTCCCACTGGCAACTCTTTTGTCTGTTCTCATATGGGTTCCAGACCTGGTTAAATGTCTTTCTAAAAGAGCAACTCCACCTACCCCCCACCTACTTCTTTACTCAAAGAGAAAATTCACCTGGAAATCACTAGAATATTTGTCTTTAAGTTAACACTGTATTATCATTAGCCCTGAAAATATGTTATGGTACATAGCTGATGCTTACTAAACATTGATATAATGAATATTGTTAAATGACTCCATATGAAAAACACAAAATACTACTTTATTACTATCATTAATATTTTATAAATTCCCATTTATAATTTATGGTAAAAAAAAATCAACAAAACACAAGGTACTACGTTCATAGCACTTGTTGTATATATCTCTTTAGAACATTATTCAAACTGAGTTAAATATTTGTGGAATCCTTGAAACATTTCAAGAAAACATGACTTGCAATCACTGCTCTAGACCTGTTACTCTCTTAACATAGATCAATATGCAAAAATATTTAGGACTAGTTATCCTGATAGGTTTCAATTCAACATTAATCATGTTAAAAATCACATATACAAAGGAAAGAAATTACCATATGTAAATTTGCGTATATATATTGTCATATGGTTAATTAAGCACCACATTAATCTGTATTTTTCTTAAATTCCCTAAGAGGGTATTTATGATCTCTGAGGTAAATTTTAAAGAAAATTTAAATGTACTGTCACATAACAAAGGCTTTTAATAGTTCACTGTCAAAATAGTCTTGTTTCATTAAATCTTACAATGACACTAAAAAGTTCTGCAAATATCACTGTTTTGTTTTTTGGTTCAGCCATACTTTTTTTTTTTTTTTTTCTGTGTTCATGATCTCTTGATGCTCGATAGCTCTCTAGTCCTCTTTCCTAGTACTAACAGAGTACCATTAGGACTCCACTGTCACTACCAGTTCTCAGGGCTTTTCCCAACTTTTTATCTAGCGTCCCAGTACTTCTCTCCAGGAAACCGCTTTCTGACATAGTGTTTAGAACATGCATGTAATCCCCATCTTTTTCCTCCTTTTCTGTCTCTCAAACTTATTTTTCCTTCTTTCACTAAAATTTAATTCAGCCAAACACTTGTCTAGATAGGCAAGAGATATGTTAGGAACAAATGTTTCCTATCTTGTACTCTTCTTCATTTTCTGCCTCTTATATTAAAGTCTCAATTCCCCTATTATAATATAAAATTTAACTTGAAGTATATATAAGAAGCATACAAAAATGGTATAGAAGTAAACAATTTTCCAGGTAAGTGCACACCAAAAGAAATCCAAGGAAATAATATAAGAAGCTAAAATTCATGGCAAAACATATTTAATGTATAAACAAACAGGATTACTTTTTTCTTAACTGTAGAAATGTAAGGAGAACTACCAGGATGAATTATAATTTGTATGGTAGACTGTTACATAAGTGGCTCCCAGTGAATCATACCACCTGCTATCTGTATCCTTGTGTACTCCACTGTCACACTGACTCTAGACTTGCTTTGTTCAATGGAAGATGAGCAAATATGATGCAAGTGCAGGCTTGATAAACTCTTGTACATTAGGGCTTGCCCTCTTGTAATGCTTTTTTCTGTCATGGGAAGAAACGCGGTCTAGCTTACTGGAGGAGGAAAGGCCATGCAGACCAGAGACAGTCAAGTCAATGAACCATGAAAAATTATAAAACATCCTGTTTTAAACCACTGAGTTTTGGAGTGGTTTGTTATATGGCAGTGGATAAGAGCTACACTTCATAGAACCTTATCATCTCTCTTTATTTATGTCTGTGGAAGACCAAATGGATAAAAGTTAAATAAAATAAAGCTATATTTAATATGAAAAAACACTTAAGGTCTCTCAGCAAACTTTAACAGTACTAGACCTGCTGTACCTGTTATATTTCTCCCTCTACCCCAGCTATTCAGTCCATTTAAAAAGTATTTACAAGAATCAGCACTTTAACTATTATCCTATACATTCTATAGGTAAAGAAGTAGAAACTGTATCAGTGAACAAAGAATACATGATAAATATTTTTATTTAAACATGAATTGTACATCTTTCATATAAAAGATGAGATTCTAGCCTGTTTTTAAAAAATTAATTATACTTGCTAATACTATCTTTACATTTTTTACAGAAGCTAATTTTCTCTAAATTTGCAGCTTCATTCCATAGCTTTTATAGACTCATAATCTCGAATATATTTCCAATATCCTTTAAAAAATAAATTCATACAAGATAATTTTAACACAATAAAAACTTAACAGATTACAGCACAACTGCCCACCCTTCCAGCTACCACTGAATACTTTTCCAGTACAGAGAAGCCAACATGTTGGAGTAATTAATTCTCTGTACTTACCTTTATTAAAAAGAGGTTTTTGGTAGTGAGAACAAATAATCTCTCATTTGTTGCTTGAAAGCCTAAAATAGGATCACTGGTTTCTAGGCTTGCTACTTGCTGCTTAGCAACCTGCCCTACTTGCCTGCCTTCCTTCCTATTGTAAAGTACAGTGGGCATGGGAGTGGGCTGACGATAGATGAAAACTCGTCGAAGGCACTCGCAAAGGGCTGCATAAGAGTAATTTGGAGCACAGGCAAAAAATTTTTTGTCTCTCTTTGATGCTTGGACGTAGCCTGCCAAGAAATATGAGACAAAAAAAAAAGAAAAACTATATATTAAACAGAAGGGGAAAAAACATTTAATAGTTCATAAATCTTATTATAAATTGAAAGGATTAAATAAAAATATATATCATAGATACTCAACAGTTGTTAAATTCTGAACCATGAATGACTAACCACAATCAGTCTCTCCCAAATGGTGCAAAATTAAAGCATTAATTCCTAAGGAACAAAATAGTGTTTCATCCCTTCAAAGAAAAGCACAGTATAGTTCCTATATAATTTCCATGAATAATTAAAACATTAAAAGTCTAACACACTAAAAACATGCCAAAATATCTTGAAATAACAGAGTACATCAATCAGAGATGTGGCATTGCATCTTTTCTTTTTTCTTATCAAATAAATGGGAAAATGTTTATAGTATGTATTATAAAGTTATTTTAGGAGTGTGTGCATAATGCAGACCCCATGCCCAAAGGTACTAATATGCACAATGCATTCCCATTATTTCTGTAATGTTAGTGGTATTTTTATACACAAATACCAACACTGTAACAGGATTTGTACTTCACCTCTCAGAATAAGCAGAGCCTTGAGACCACTACAAATTCAAAGAAAATTCAAGTATCTTTTTAAAAAAATTCCATTGGGATATCCCTTGAAAACTAATTAAAATTTGAAATAATCTTTTTAAAAATTATCTTTATAGTCTAAAAGAGCATTTATGTTCTGAAATAAAAATCAGAATTTTCAGATTGGGACATGATTACTGAACATTATAACATGTGAGAGAGGAAAGGAAATATAACACTAATGTAAATTGAGACCTCATCAAACAATGAATGAGCAAAGGAACCACTGAGCACAGGCAGATCAATGCTGGTTTTTTAATATTAAGCAGGGCTTGAGGAGGAAAAATTAGAGAGGACACAGACACCTATTTGAGAGCCTAGATTTAGCTCTCCAGGCTAATCTTGACGAAATAACATCTCAAGACTACACATCTAATGTAATGTTGATTTAACTTAAACTCAAGCATAATAGAATTCCATTATACTAGGGGATTTAGGAATACAAAAGGAATATCTGAAAATTAAGATAAAGCTTTCCTCTTACTGAAAAAAATAGGAGAATAAAAAATCAGGAATTTTAGTAGAACTAGAAATTACGTGGCTAAATTATTCAATCAAACTTTATTTCAGGTCATAAAAATCCATTTGGAGTCTGAATTAACCAGTTTAACAGCCCATATTATTAACTATAAGGGATAATTGAAAAAAATCTCCTCTACAATTAGGGTTGTACATATACAGCAATCACAATGCATAATTTTACTTCCTGCTGGCAGTTTAAAATAACCTTTCAATAAAGCAATAGCTGTGGTCAATTCATATAAAAAATTTCTCCCACACAATACTAATGTATTTTATCATTAAATCAATTATTGTGTAAGTCTACAATTATGTAGCTCAAAATGTTTCAAGCTCTAGTTTTAAAACCAGTAATTTCCCTTTTATCCTACAGAATAAATTTCATTTCTGCTTATCATCATCTTCCCTAAGTGTTTTCATTATAATGGCTGTTTTTCACATAAGTTCCATGAAAGATGTCTCATAATGTGCTTTACCTTAGAGCAATTCCATGATTACCGAAGACTACTCTGAAGAAACCTGAATACAAGTTCCATGTAGGGTACTGTCAAGCCCCTTGTTCATATTCTGATATTGTATAGCTTAGTTGGAATAAGCAAATAACTGATTAGAATGATTCATGCAGTTAGATAACCACTTTGATTTCTATTCTGTGCTGATCTTCTGCACAAGCATAAAAACAAATTAGTCCTACTGTTCCAAAAGTACTAACATTCATCAACTATGTGCAAGCAACCAAATTATAGCACAAATCAATCCAAGTATACTTAGGACAGCTCAAATTTAAACAAACCCAAAAACTTAAAAAAAAAAAGAATTGACTAATTTTCAATATAAAGGAAAAGGTTGTCAAAGAGCTTGCTTATACCTAAAGCATTGAAAGTTGCGATATGCTCCCACATATCGTCTTGGTTGCCAGAGTGTGGTTGCCAGAGAAGGGCATCAACATCATGGCGCAGACAGAAGCAGGGCATTTCTTTAGGATCCACTATGACAGAGAAAAGGTACTGGTTGCTTCCAAGATTCACCTAAAATAAAAAGTGACAAAAAATCATTTACCCAACAACAAATTAATAATAATAAGGATGACAGCTGACACACAGAACTACATGTCAACAACTGTTCTAAACTTTTTACACACCTAAAACTGATGAATAAATCTTCATAATGCTCCTGGGAGAAATGTGCTATTGTTAGGTCTATCTTAAAGCTGAGGAAAGTGATGCACAAAGGATTTAAGTAACTTGCCCATGGTCAGCCTGGTAATAAGTTGTGCAGCTGAGATTTGAATCTGGAGTCTATGTTCTTAGCCACTACACTATAGTATTTGTCAACTGTTAGTAACTCGTTTACAACATGCTATAAAGCACCAATTTTATAGGCAGAATATTTTTTAAACCACAGAATACAAATATGAAGTTTACAAATGCTAACTTGTAATAATAACTACCAAGAATCAACGATAGCTACTGTGATTTATGAGCACAATCTATGTGCCAGACACGTTATAAATATTAACATCAATAACCCACTAGGCTGTTATTATCTTCATAGATGGAAGAATATACTTGAGAGAGCTTGAGTAACTTATTCTAGGCTACACAGAAAAATCACAATGCTAGGATTCAAACGCAGGTCTGTTTACAAATTATTGACTTTGTATTGCCTATTTACAATAAAATGTCAAGAATGTTCATTATGTTAATAATTTTATTGCAATATTGATGGCTAAAGGAACTCATTTTACTACAGACTCATTAGGTTGAGGCTCATAACTGGATTCCATCTATAGGAATACTTTTTTTTTAATGGAAAGAGGTTGCAGTGACATTCTTCATTACAAATGCTGTTTATCAGAGTTAAAAATGCCTAAATACCAACAAAAATCATATCAGATATAGAAAACATAAAATATGCATAGCACTTAATAAACAATGAATTGCTTCCATGAGTTTTAGAGCAGACTGGAGAATAAAATGTTGGGTTGAAATTAAAGGTGGAGACCTGACCTATGTTCAATAGGGAAAGCTGTGAAGTGGCTCTCCCACACAGACTACTGGTCACAGGAGCATCCAGAGACAGAGCAACCTAATTTGTGTTGCTGCAACAATGCCAAGGGATAGGGCTTTTGGGTGGGGCCGGTACTTGTTCTCTGCAGAAGGGGAACAGGCTGGCACACAGTGTTCACAGACTATTTCTTCTCTCCCTTTGCTCCTGATAATCACTGGCTAAGTGAGGTTTATTTTCAAAATCACTGCCAACTGACTGGCCTTTTATATTACATTTTACAGTAAGCTTTATTGTCAAATTCAGTTTTTATGTAGTTTCAACTGTGTTCTCATTACTTGCAGTTTTATACTTTCCATTAATGCATGTTTCAGCAAATAGTTTGTGGATCTGCCCCTCAGAAAGTGAACACATTATTCCTCAAATAAGATTTGGATGCTTTAAATATACTCAAAACTAATTATCTGTAAGTTTTACAAACAAATTATAATAAACTAGTCTGATGGAACTAACTGCAAATATAATTTACTGTGAGATAAAACACTCCCTTTACATGAGATAATTTTTTCTTTATGTAGTAAGAGACTTGTGATATTCATTTAATAAATTCTAGCCTTCCTATTCTTCATTTTAAAATCAAGTATTCCATACAGATAAATAAAAAAGATTACACCACTTAAGATGTATGATACTTATTAGGTTGGTCAGCAGCCACGTTAGGAAAATTTATAATTCCATTCACTAAGAGTAGACAAAGGAACTGCAGATAAACACTGCTTTTAAGATAACACCTAAAAATGGTTTCATCTTTCTCATGGTAGTTACTGAAACCTCTTGATAATTCTTTATACCTTTTACTACTTTTTCTTGCCTCACTGCAGTAGCTAGGAGCTCCACATGATGCTGACTAGGAGTAATGAGGGCAAACACTCTTGCCTATCTTTTGCACAGGCTCCGGACGCGCAGGCTCAGCGGCCATGGCGCACGGGCCCAGCCGCTCCGCGGCATGTGGGATCCTCCCAGACCGGGGCAGGAACCCGTGTCCCCTGCCATTGGCAGGCGGACTCCCAACCACTGCGCCACCAGGGAAGCCCGCCTGTTACCAATCTTAGGGGAAAGCATTCTAGTATTTTTACTATTTTTACCATGAAATACGATGTTAACACTAGGTTTTTCAAGGAGGCAGTTACCTTCAACTTCTAGTTTGCTAAGCACTTTTATCATAAACAGATACTAAGTTTTGTCAATTCTTTTTCTGCATCTACTAGAATGGTCAAATATTTTTCTTCTTTAGTCTGATGATACACTGAATTATGTTGATTGATACTTGAATGTTGATGAATCAGCCTTGAATTCCCTGGGTAAACACTACTTGGTCATGATGTATTATCCTTTTTACTTACTGCTGGATTTCATTTACTAATATTTTACTGAGGACTTTTGATCTATATTCATGAGGGATACTGGTGTGCTTTTTAATTTTTTTCCTGTTTTCCTTTCTGTCATGTCTTTGCCATCAGGGTAATGCTGGCCTTATAAAACAAGGTGGGAGGTGTTCCTTCCTCTTCTATTTTTCTGGAAGTATAGAATTGGTATTGTTTGTTCATTTGGTAGAGCAAACCAGTGAAGCCACCTAGGTCTGGAGATTTGACAGAAGGTTCCTAACAATAAATTCAGTCTCTTTAACAGATACAGGACTATTAAGGTTATCTATTTCTTTTTCAGTGAACTGTGGTAATGCTTGTCTTTCAAGGAATTAGCTTCACTTAAATTGTCAAATATATGAAAATAGAGTTGTTTATAACATCCCATTATTACACTTTACTGTCTTTTGGACTTGTCCTGACACGTCCATTTTTATTTCTGATATGGTAATTTGTGTTGTCTTTTTCCTTGGTTACTCTGGCTAGAGACTTACCAATTTTGATCTTTTCATTGTTTTATTATTTTCAGTTTTCAGTTTCACTCATTTCTGCTTTGTAAGTTTCCTTCCTCCTACTTGCTTTAGACTTGGTTTGCTCTTCTTTTCCTGGTTTAAGATGGAAGCTTAAATTATAAAATTGAGACACTTTTTCTATTGTAATATAACATGTAATGCCATAAATTTCCTTCTAAGCACTGCTTTAGCTGCATCCCATATGTGCTGTTTCATTTTCGTTCGATTCAAAATATTTCTTACTTCCTTTGTGAGTTCCACTATGACTCATAGGTTATTCAGAAATGTATTTAATTTCCAAATACTTGTGGATTTTCCAGATGTTTCTATTATTAATTTCTAATTTAATTGTTATGGCCAGAGAACATTCTGTTCATGATTCTTATTCTTTTAAATTATTGACATTTATTTTATGGCCCAGAATATGGTCTATTTTGGCAAATGTTCCATGTCCCTTCTGGGATTCCAACTAGATGTATAGTAGACCATCTGACAATTGCCCCACAGCTCTTGGATGCTCTGTTTTTTTGTTTTTAATCCCACCCCACTTCCACCCTCTTAGGTTAGTAAAATTAGCAGAACTGACATCAATCTTCCAGGTTACGGATTTTTTTTTTCCCCTCAGATGTATTGAGTATACTGATGAGTTTGTTGAAGGCATTCTTCTCTTGTTGCTGTGGGTTTTTTTTTTTTTAAACTTCAAGCATTTTTAATCGACTCTTTTACAGTTTCTCTCTGCTAAAATTCTGTATTAATTTATTCAACTTTTCTGCTAGAGGCTTTAACATATTAACCACAGTTATTTTAAATCCTTTGTCTGGTAGTTCCAAAATAGGGGTCATCTCTGGGTCTGGTTTGTTTCCCCTTGTTTCTTGACAGCAGGATATTTTTTACTTTTTGTGTGTTTTACTTCTTTTTGTGTGTCTTGTAACCTTTGACTGAACACTGGATGTAAAAAACTGTAGAGACTGAGGTAAGCAGTATTTATGCCTGGTAATGGACACATTTCTTCTGCTAGGCCATTCGTGTGGGTGGTCATGACAGAGGGAGGTTGAGAAAGGGCTAAGAAAGGGCTGATCTGAGCTTGAATTCTGTTGTTGCTATGGTTACCTTCAGTGCATCACCAACTTCAAATTCCTTCAGTGTTACTTTGCACTCTGGTGGGGACTGAGATGCTGGAGGATTTTCCCCAACTGTACTGTTCCACCCCTAACTTTAGGCCTTCACCATACATCCTCATTTCAGAGAGTCTCCCTATGCTCTTACTCCTTCCCTAGTGGTAGATTATTATTGCCTGTTACTTGGTGCTTCTCAGCCTTGATGATGGTGGATGGAAGGATATAGGCAGAGGGTTCTCTTGGTTCAGCCTCAGTATTGGGCCTTGTGTCCTTGGGTTTGGGCCTTTTTAGTGATACTGCCATAGGAGAATTCTAATAATCTACCCTTGATTTCCTGCCCCTGCCCCAGGCATAGCAGTGGTGTTTTAAAATTATTTTTATTTTCCCCCGGCTGCCGTGGGTCTTATTCTGAGCCCTTAGGATAAGATCTGATGCTCTTCCCTCAGCAGCGTAAGGCTTTTGCTACTTAAGGAAAATAAAGCAGACAGGACTTCATTCTTCTTTTCACGGCAGAAGATTACTTCCCTTCTCCAATGCTGCATCACCAGGGTGGCTTTCCCCCTGTCTGTCTCCTCCCCTGCTCCCCGTCTTCCGCATCAGGCCTTGGTCAAGGTCCATAAAGAGGATTTGTAAATCCCATGGGTTCTATACCTTCTTGTTAGCCCCCACTACGCTTTTAGCAGTTTGTTGGATTTTCCTTACCCACTTACATGGCAATCCTTTCTTCTTCCCATGTTCAGATGAACCAGCTCTCCTATCCACTCTCTCCTTGGTGGTACCTGTTTTTCCCTTGGATTTCAAGCTAGTTGATTGTGCTGTAACCTCAGATTTTTTTTTCACCTCTGAAAAATTTTTTTTAAGTAATGATTCTACAGATTATCCAGGCTTCTCTTGTTGTTACATTGGGAGTGACACTCTTTCCAACTTTCCAGACCCTAGACTGAACTAGAAGTCCCCTGCTCACTGT